ATACGTCCTTTGGTCGATAGCTAATCGGATATCACGTCTACTAAGTCAGAGATGGAATCAGTTGAGAAATACCAAACACGCCTTTCGTATCCATGACATTTTGTTAGCGATTAACCCGCTTGGGTTGGCTGATGAAACCTTCCAAATGAGTCAAGTGGTCAACACGCTCATTCCTCATTTTTAACGTAGGGGTCGGTGAAGTTCAGTCATTTGACGGGAGCGAATCGCATACAAAACATTAGAAGATTTCTGCTCAAGGTGTTGAGAAGACTGTGCATTTTGTTAGCGTCTTCCCTTAGAAGGACTATATCATCCGCATACTCTAAATCGACAAGACTACATCCTGGTAACAAGTCAATCTCTGTGACGTTGAAGTCAGTTAGGGTTAAGTTCATTAGTACATCTATGATGAAATTAAACAGAAATGGAGATAATGGACATCCCTGACAGAAACCACTGGTTGTCATCGACTGGAATGCCACTTCCAGTTCAAAAATATAACGATTGTTGGACACCAGTAAATATCCCTACATTACAGAATCATTGGAAGAGTGAAGGTATGACCAATACACCCTTCCTGGTTCTCTCTTGTTTGTTCCTCCAGAGTACTGCTTAGTCTACGTATGATTATTGAGCCTAGAACCTTAGATACCATATTAGTTAAGCGAATCCTCCTGTGATTATCTTAGGAAAACCGGTGATGGATGAAGATACTGTCTAGTTGTTCAAGCACAAGCAACTACGTAAGACGATGAACCCCTCCGATCATAGTGAATAGACGAAGCTATGGTCGGGTTAGTTACTGCAGTGACAACTTCGGCAGTGTGCGTTTTCTTCTCATGAATAATCAATAATTGCAGGCTCAATAACCACGGAAAAACCCTGATTAGTTCAGATTTCTTCTGCGCTAGTATTTGTCAATATAGTGTATTTATTTCTTCAAATTATAATAGTGATGGATTTATTCTGAACAACATGTTTATATACAGTTCAGAATCTTTAGCATGTTTTTATCTACTCCCCATATAGAATATTTAAATGAAACGGCAATCTTTGGTATATCATTAGAAGGGATTTTGTTCTATCCACAACATGCTACCACCTCCAATGGATTTGACCCTTTAAAACAAACCAAAAGGCATTTTAAAACCTGTGAGTATAAACTTTTCTTTAAGGACGCAAACATCTGGTTAAAATAAAGTAAAAACTGATAGATTTCATCACCAGCCAACATCATTTAGACAGGTCAATGGAAACCAGGCTGCTGTTTCGCACAATGTTGAGACTCTTCAGCAATATGCATTCACGAACCCACCAAGGATCGAACCCAAGACCTTCAGGGTAAAAAAACAAGTTCGTTGACGATTTAGCTACTTGGGCGGGAATCCACTTCTATCTAACTTCTTCAATTTGTGATATAACGCTAAACTCACTAATAGCTTCGATGAGTATAAACTTCATCTTAACATCGTGCACCTCTATGGATGAGGAGTTCCGACATAGGACGAAACAGATCATCAGTGTCTTCTGTTGGCTTTTCTGGTGAAATCTTTAAATGATATTGGTTCGTAGCAAAAATTAACATTTTCAATTAAATCAAGGGTAATCCGAACAATTCAGATCGTCTAAAACTGAGTAATTTTGATGCATTGTGTTCTGCAGGAAAGTAGGTAACTCTATGGTTTAGAAAGGCCGCTGTCAACCTCGAGTAAAACTATGTTTCCCAGGATGCTGCAGTCATTAGGTTTACTGCTGGCTGATATAAGCCATTAATGACATCGGGTAGAACTCTAAAAAACGAAGACCTGTCATCCTTATGATGCAATTCTATGTGGATACCCCTGAGAGGTTATCCGCATATAAATATATAGATCGGTAGAGTACTTCAATAACACAACGTTGATAAAATCAGAATAGAAATCCTGATGTCATACAAGCACAAGAGTTCTTTCCACTCTTTCATATTCAAATAAATGTAATGGTTCATTTAAACAGGGAAGAATAAATCAATCACGGACTCGAACATGGGTATAGTGATATATTAATTTTATTCCATTACGTTCTGATTGGAATATAGCGCTTCAAACTTTATAGGCTTGGAAGATTTAGTACCAGTGGATAGGATTTCTAGCCTCATGACGCACCTGCCCTTTTTACCGGACAACTTACTACCACCTAGCCAAATGAAGTTAAGGAGTTAGGTGATCGAGGATCAAACTCTGATTAATGAATAAAGAGTTCGGAATCACCCAAGCAATAACCAGTAAGAATTACTCAAGAACTGTTTTGTCCCTAGGTTCGCACTCTTCACCAACTGACACGGGTTTCGAACCCAGAACTTACCGGTTAACAAAGCGAACTCATCGTACGCCATTCAATCAGATGAATAAACATCACTAAGAGAGAACGGACGAGGATGTGCAGGAGACAGGAAGACAGTGTCAGAATGGCAAGATACACCTTCATCAATGTGAAATCACTTTCGAAGTCTTCTCCACTCAGACAGCATAAACAAAAAGATTCTCACTTTCAACACCAATTTGAAGTCAGTCAGTTCTTCCTCACAGGTCAGAAACTTTGCGTTGGAATCACGAAGTTGCAGACTTCTTGATCAACGGCTGCCGCCTTCGCTGGCTCTATATTGAAGATCGAACAGCCAGCCAGCCAGCCAGAAGCAATTAGTAGCAAGAAACTCTGGCTGAGAAGAAACCAATCAAGAACCTACAACTCAACAAATATGCATGTGAAAATGCAGACGGATTGAGCACATGCCACTAAGGAGACCATCAGATAAAATCACACGCTAGGCCATCTCTCACGTGAAAGCCGAATGGGAAACGACGAAATAAGCAGGTGTCCTAGATTGACATGGAGAAGATGGTGCGAGGAGAAGGAGGAGGGGGCGATGAGAGATTGTGGGCGCAGCTGAAGAGGACAGCAGAAAATAGGACAGTGTGGAGACGTGCTATTGCAGCTCTTTATTCCACTCAGAACTCCCCGGTTTTCAATGTTTCTCTAACTGATATCAATCCGTGGAAAACAAAACTAATCCTTACAAACCAACTATAGAAAATTAATCTGATGCTCGCTAGTGACTTGCTACAGGACAGAGTTTCCTGGAGTACTAGTGAGAAGTTGTGACCAGTGAGGTCCAACCAGTAAGTGTGTCAGGATGAATGTCCCACCAATGACACTGGTTGGTGCCAGTCACGCTAAATCACAAATAGGTAGAAGTTAGAATTCATACACTGGTCATTGAATCGGGTCCCAGTGGCTGAAAGGGCTACGAGCTAGCTGGCCTTGTAACCTGAAGATCCTGCGTCTAAAGCCCAGCGTGGGTGCACTGTCAATGATCCTCTACACTAGGATGGAACAGCTGTCCAATACTCCAATGCTGGTTTTCAATGGTTCTCTGTCTGTTTCGAAATAGAACTTTGCACCGATGTGCGGAAGTTCAAATCACCACACTCCCTCCATGTAGCACATAAAGCAAGAGAAGAAACGCATAATAGAGACAGTAAACAGAGGTGTGAGACAAAGGAATAGTAATAACGAAGAACAAAACAGTTTCATTGGAAATCATAAGTCACAAGGAGTGGATGCATCTGCTCCAGCCATCAAGAACAATTTTGAGGCATATCACCGATTGTCTCCAGCCTTCATTGGTGTTTACCGTCCCGAGGACCCCAACCAGATAGACAGTCTACACCTTCCTACGTGACTTAAACTAACTGTTGTAGATTTCATTGACTAGTGCACTGTTTTGGTTTGACCACCACTGGTTAGCTCTTTTCCAGCCTGACCCTATGTCAGCTAACTTGCCCTTCGAGGAAGGCGATGACTAGGAATACGTAATACATGTCCTAACCATCTCACAGTCGATGTAACTTCACAACCTCGTCGATTGATTTCCCCTCCCCCTTACCTATCACTCGATACCTAACCTCAATATTGCTCACCTTTTTATACCACTTTCACACGGGAGATAGAACGCAGGCACCTATGATCAAAGACAGCTAATCTTTTGATGTCTTCCACTCTCAATGGCCAGGTCTCACAACCATAAAGAAGGACGGAGCGGACTGATGAGCAGTACACCCGCCCTTTGGTCGATAGTCGAACATCTCGTCTACGCCAGAGTCGGCGTAAACTGGCGAATGCGAAACGAGCCCTCTGTATCCGTACTCAGCTGAGATTTCGTCAGAGATCAACCCGTTGGGGCTGATGGTACTTCACAAATAAGTGAAGCGGTCAACATGCTCTACCAATTCACTTCCTATTTTTAAACTAGGCGTCGATGTAGTCCAGTCCTGTAACATCATCTTGCATTTGGCTGGAGATGTTGTTTTGATATCAATCCCTAATCAACTCGTAAAAATAATAGAAGAGAGACATTGGCGAAAATTTTCAAATGATGATATTTCAACAAAGTAACAATTTATTTTTCTAACAAATTAACAAAAATAAACAATTTATCAACACAGCCATTTTGTTTAGGGCAAAAATATTTTTTAAAAAAAGCCAAACTCAGAAAGAAGAAAGAAAAGCAAACAAGACAACTGGAAGGAGAGCAACAGAGATTGGAAAATTATCCAAACTAAATAATGATAATGAGGACGGTAATGGTGATTGATGTGAAAAAGGATGCGACAACCGCACACTTACGAAGGGAAAGTGTCCGTGTATGTTTGAATGTGGAGATCTCCACATCACCTCCCTGCTGCTCGTCAAGAACAAACCAACTAACAAAGACAAAGGCGGAATTTCTAAGATGTCAAAAGAACTAAGGCAAAGATATACAAGCAAACACTTGTGTACATTGGGTAGTATATATAGATGGATAGATAGATGTGTGTAACAAAAATAACTCTTCACAACATTCGATTGCCAGTTACGGTATTAGGAGCAGTAATAGTAATAACACTAATAATAATGTCCCATTGAACGGAAAGGTTATTGAGCACAGAAAGTGTACATACATACATACATAAGCATCACAGTTATGGATATCGACCGTTGGGTTGACGTAACAAATTGATAAATGTCTCATCATCAATATACTGACTAGAAAATTTATTGAATTCTTCAAATTCTTCTTCACTATCATCGTCATGAGGACCAACACCACCGCCACGATAAACATCAGCAACATTATGAATAATATCACCGGAATTATTGACTTCATGATGATTCTTATTATCATTATCAGTAGTATAATTAAGCAGTAAGTGTTGTCTATCCGTTTGTCCAATTGATTCTTTATTCAAATAGACATTATGCAATTTACGTTTATGATTCAACTTTTTCCGGGTATCAGTAGACGTTTTCAAGTCTTCTAATTGAATCGCTTTTTGATAATTATTACTACGATAACGTCGTTGAAGTAAGAGTAGATTTGGTTGACAATGCTGATGATTTTGATGTTCTCCAAGAAGCGGTGGTTCATCGGTGTGCTGCTGCTGTTCACGCAAAGGATGATAATAACCACTCCGACTCCGATGAGGGAATAAATAGGGATAATTCAAGGAAGAATAACATGCAACTATCACCAGAGTAAGTGATAGGGTAAGGCAACAGAGTAAAATAACGCCAACTAGAAAAATGTAAGTGAGCAATAGAAAACAAAGGACGGGAAATATTATATTATTTAAATGTTCCGCGCGGAAGACAACAATATCATTTTAAAAAATATGTGTAAATATGTGAAACAATAAACTAATTTAAAAAATTACATATTTATCAGAGAAATCAAGTCGATGATATTATAATATCGGCAGGATATTCGAACTGGGATTGAACTTATTCGCGGTGTATTTACAACGCTGTCATAGCAATGACCTTGAAATACAATCACTTGAATGTTGAGCAAGGTTTTATTTAATTGTTTTAATAAACCAGTCGAAATAGTGGAGTAAAGAGTGAATTTATGTCAACTGTAAAATAAGTCACAGGAAAAAAACAGAATTTTCGCAAAAAACAACACAAACACTGCTATTAAACAAAAAAAACTGAACCATAATATTTTAAATACAAGATTAATCATCCGCTCACATCAGTTAGAGAACCTCATTGGAAAACCAAACAGCAGGCAGTACTGAACAGACGGTGTTTTCCTTTTCATGAATCGATAGAAGTTGGAATTCACAGAACATTGGTCTACGAATTCTCCTCGTGACCGGAAGCTCCTAGGTTCAAATCCCAGTGGGTGTACACTGATGAAGAGTTCCAAACAAGGATGAAACAGCCGTCCAGTAGTCCTCACTTGATTTTCTAACGGTTCTCTAACTAATGTCAAGCTCGTGATCAGTTGTGTAACACCCTTCAAATCCCTGTAAAAGCATTCCTATTTTGATAAGTCCAAACAGCATTCGTCAATTATTGTTGGAAAGGGAAGAAAGAAGAAAATTACAGCCCGTTTGCCACTGATGACTGCGATTCTTGGCTATATCCAATAACCTTTTGAGCAACCGATTCGATCTATCTCTCAGATGCGAACCAGGGAGTCATGACGCACCGACCGATACTAATCTAACACAAATATCCTTCACCCCATGACGCCACGTGATGGGCTGACCACTTCTCCTCTTTTTCCATCCCGTCCGACGGCTGGCGAATAAGGATTGTACGGAAGCCTCTTGGATGACATTCGTAGCACATATTGAAGCCATTGAAGTCGATGTTTCCAGATGGCGACAATCAACGAATGGTGATGTATATCCCGTTTCCTAGAATTTTATGTTATCATAGTAGTAGTCCTGGGGGTGCGTATAGGGGTGACATACTAGTTTGTAGATTAACTGAGGTACTAGGCAAAGTTTGGGAATCAGAGACAGTTCCATCAGACTGGGGTAAGTCACTTATTATACCGATATTCAAGAAGGGGAACAAGTCCTCGTGTGATAATCATAGGGGGATCAGCCTAACGAACATAGTCTCTAAAATCCTAGGCTCAGTAATCATGCATAGACTAAGCAGAACTCGGGAGGAACAGACAAGGGAAAATCAAGCAGGCTTTAGACCAGGTAGAGGGTGCATAGATCATATCTTCACTCTTCGACAGATTCTAGAACATAGACACACTTTTCGGCGTCCAACAATTGCCATATTTCTTGACTTGAAGGCGGCCTTCGACTCCGTGGATCGAAAGGTACTATGGCAATGTCTGACTGTGAAGGGAGTGCCAAGAAAGTACATTGCACTAATCAAGGCACTCTATTCAAACTCACGTAGTCGTGTAAGGGCTTATGGGGAATTGTCATCTGAATTGGTAACAACCAGTGGTGTCCGACAGGGATGTCCACTTTCCCCATTTCTGTTTAACTTCATCATAGATATGCTGATGGAAGTATCCTTAACTGAACGTAACGACTTAGGAATCGACTTGTTACCAGGGAATAGTCTTATGGACTTAGAATATGCAGATGACATAGTCCTGTTAGGGGAGGATGCTGACAAAATGCAGAGTCTTCTGAACACCTTGAGCAGCAATCTTCGTATGTTTGGCATGCGATTCGCCCCTGCAAAATGTAAGATGCTGCTACAGGACTGGACTACGTCAACTCCTAACTTAGTGATAGGGAGTGAAGTGATAGAACATGTTGACCACTTCACCTATTTGGGAAGTTGTATTAGCACCAACGGACTGATTGGCGACGAAATCTCAGCACGGATCCAAAAAGCTCGAGCTGCTTTCGCTGACTTACAGCACCTCTGGCGTAGGCGTGACATTCGGCTATCAACCAAGGGACGTGTGTACTGCTCATCAGTTCGCTCCGTCCTTCTCTATGGCTCTGAAACATGGCCAATACGAGTTGAAGACATGAAAAGGTTGACTGCTTTCGATCATAGATGTCTGCGATCTCTGTCTCACGTTAGGTGGTTTAACAAGGTAAGTAATGTTGACGTTAGGCGTAGAGTGTTGGGCAAAGAGGGAAAATCAATCGACGAGGCTATAAAGTTACATAGACTGAGATGGCTAGGTCACGTGCTGCGCATGCCTAACCATCGCCTCCCCCGACGGGCATTACTAGCTGATATAGGTGCAGGTTGGAAAAGAGCAAGTGGTGGCCAAACAAAAACATGGCCTCATCAATCCATGAAATCCTTGACAGTTAAACTGAGTCAGGTAGGGAGATGCAGACTCCCGGGTTGGGGCCCTCGGGACTCTAGGAATCAATGGCTGGAGACAATAGGTGACATGGCTCAAAATCGTTGTCAATGGCCAGCGCAGATGTATTCAGTCTCTGTAATCTTTCATATTCCTTTCTACCATTACCCATTCTGTTTCACTCTTATACTATTCAAACTCTATTGATTCTCTTCACTCATCTTCTTGTCTACCTCTGTGTGCTATTTGGAACGTGGCAACTCGAACTGGTGCACTTCGGTGCGAAGTTCTATGTTGAATCCAGACAGACAGACGGGGGTGCGTCGGTGACACATTGGTTAGGACGCTCGCCGACCTTACTTTCCACGTGTAACGTGGAAGGCCCAGTTTCGACTCCCAGTCGAAAAGCTAATCAGTCGGTGGTTTGGAGGTGAAATGTTCGCCAAACACACAAGTGGTCCGGGGTTCGATCCCAAGACGATACATTCCGAAACCTTTTCAAACCAGAAAAGTCCAGGGTGAGGTCGGAAACCCCACTCAGCGGAAAAAACGCTGCTGAAGCTCAAGCTTTGAAGCCGTAGGTTCAACTGGGGAACACAAAAGAGTACAAGGAAGTCTTACCTCTCCCTGGTCTAAGCCTAACTTATAATCAATCAATATCATTACACTTCATTGAATGCTGTCTTCATGTTACCTACACTGTTCCATTGCCTTGCTCCGACTGCGCGTTCCAAGGCAGTCATCGGTGTGTCCACACCTGTTGGGTGTCCAAAGTTCAAGTATGAAGTTAAATAACGAGTTGACATTAGTTGGAGAAACGTTGAAAAACCCAAAAGGTACTGTGGACAATCGTTTCGTCCCAGTTCAGAAGTCCTCATCAGTTTATACACACACAACCCTCAGTGGAGTATATAATTTTGGATTCAGATGTTATGAGGTGAATGGTTTGCTTTCTTTCTACAGACACACTTTTAAAGGTATAACCGGGCAAAGAGTCCCAAACGGGACGAAAAGCACACTTTATAAGTTTTGCTACCGGACAATATCTAACACACAGGCAGACAAGTGTATAACTTTCTAAAAGCACGAATACTCAATAAAGTGATTATACTTTCTCACTAATACACAAGTACAAAGCAATTTTGATTTATGCCCTAATATTAGTTTATTTGTTAAACCACATATTCATGCGGGTTGTCATTTTTCACTTCTTAATCTACAATTTGAAATACACTGTCTAAAGAGAAATCTACCTAGTAGTGAAAATTCCTAAGTAAATCGATGATTCCCAAGGTAGATTATTTCATTAGGAGGCAAAATCAATTAAAGAAAACCAACATTAGGCGAAGGAGTGGCCTGGACGACTTCTTCATCCCAGTCTCTTTGAATATGAGACCAACCAGCTGGAAGTTTCATCTTAGGTGTGTGGGAAAGATTAAGTTACGGTTTAAGCCAAGGACAAGCTATACGGTTAGGTTAAGCCATTAAAGGTGACATTAAGTTACTTCAAGTTAGATTAGGGTTAGTTTGGGCATATTTTCACGTTGGAGTTAAGTTCAGGAAAAATTGGTGTTATTGTTAGGATTAGAAGAACTGAATAATTTACTTGCATAGAATGTGGTTAAATTACTCTATTGATATAAGAATAGAACTTGTTCACTGCGGTCCGTTTTAGCTAACCTCACGATCGCCCGCGCATAACCTTTCATCGCTTGTTTGTCATCATCATCGGGAGAAATTTAAAAGACGTGACAGCCTTCACTTATCTAGGAAGGATAGTTTCAACCACAGGCAGCGTAACGGATGAAGATGTCAACACCAGCTAGAATCAGACAGATAACGTACACATATTCATCAATCTGATATCAGTTAGGAAGTTGCAGACTTTTTGATCAACAGCTACCCCCTTTCTCTGGCTCTATATTGAAGATCAAATGGTCGGCCGGTAGACCAGAAGCAATTAGTAGCAAGAAACTATAGAAAGGAACCAAGCAAGACCTATTGCTCAACAAATATGTAAAATAAAATGGAGATGGATTGGGCAAACGTCATTGAGGAGACCGTCGATAACATCGCAAGCCAGGCTATCGCTCGAGTGGAATCCAAATCACGAACGACGAGTTTGATGTCACATTGAGGGTGACAAGGAGGAGGTCGTGAGAGGCGGAGGAGGAGAGGATGAGAGACTATGGGAAATTGTGGGCCCAGCTGGAGAGGACATCAGAAAATAAAACAAAGCGGAGACGTACTGTTGAAGCCCTATGTTCCACTCGGAACTCAAGGGAACATTAATGAAAATGTCACCGTCGGATTCATGTCCGATTCGCTGTCTTCCATTTGGAAATAATCTCGTTGACTTAGAATATGTAGACTACATAGTGCTTCTAGGCAAAGATGCTGACAAAATGCAGAGTCTTCTGAACACCATGAGCTGCAATCTACGAATGTTTGGGATGGGATTCGCTCCCGCCAAGTATAGGATGATACTACAGGACTCGACTACACTGACTCCTAGTTAAGAAACAGGGAGTGAAGTGGTAGAGCATGTTGACCACTTCACTTATCTGAGAAGTACCATCAGCCCCAACGCGTTGATCTCTGACGAAATCTCAGTTGAGTACGGATACAGAGGGCTAGTTTCTCATATCCTAGTTTACACCGTCTCTGGCTTAGTAGACGTGATATCCAGTCACCTGTCGACCAAAGGGTGGATGTACTGCTCAGCAGTCCGCTCCGTCCTCCTTTATGGCTAGCTGTGAGACCTTGCCATTAAGAGTGGAAGACATGAAAAAGTTAGGTGTCTTTGATCATAGGTGCCTGCGCTCTATCTCCCGTGTGAAGTGGTAGCTGTAATAGGAAGAGAAATACTGAGGTTAAGCGTCGAGTGCTAGGTAAGGAGGGGGAATCAATCAACGAGGCTGTGAATCTACAGCAACTGAGATGGTTAGGACATGTGTTACGTCTTCCTAGTCATCGCCTTCCTCGACCGACGGGCAATGTTAGCTGACATAGGGTCAGGCTGAAAAAGAGCTAACCAGTGGTGGTCAAACCAAAACATGGCGTCATCAGTCAATGAAATCCGCAACAGTTAGTTTAAGTCACGTAGGAAGGTGTAGACTGATTGTCTGGTTGGGGTCCTCGGGACGGTAAACACCAATGAAGGCTGGAGACAATTGGTGATATGCCTCAAAATTGTTCTCAATAATGGCTGGTGCAGGTGCATCCACTCCTTGTGACTTATGATCTTCAATGAAACTGTTTTGTTCTTTGTTATTACTATTCCTTTGTCTCACACCTCTGTTTACTGTCCCTATTATGCATTTCTTCTCTTGCTTTATGCACTACAAGGAGGGAGTGTGGTGACTTGAACTTCCGCACATCGGTGCAAAGTTCTCTGTCGAAAACAGACAGACAGACTTCTGTTTGGGTTCTACTCGAGCGATGAAGTGGTGCGTGATGTCACCCAATGATCTCGTCAACCGTGGTTTCACAATTCATCTTTATTTCCATTTGTATATGTGTTGGCCGATAAGTTCTCAGTTCGTTAAGGTGATCTGATCTTCAGCATCGATAAAGGGCAGTTGTTAACGCATACCGAAAACAAAATTAAAAATATGCACCAGAGTAGCAATGTCTTGTAAAGAAGAAATTCACTGAAACTAACCTGTAAGTGCATCTAAAAAGCTTGAGAAATAAGTATCATCATTATTCCCACGTAGAAGATGTTTGACACGTGATAGACTACCATTACTGGAGCTGGATTAGTCAGATTGAGTAATGCACACATAAGTGGATAAATATCAACCATTTGGATAGATGGAATTGTCCTTCGACTCCGTGACATATCTTTAAATCCTGGTCCCATAGCCAAGAAAAACGGCGACATTTCACTATCGTTAGGATCATAACCATGATCTCCAAGTTTAGCTGATGTCAAAAAAATAAATACAATAACGCAGGCAAATAAATAATTATCAGTGTATAATAATAATAAAATTCTGTACATAAATCCTGATCTCAGAGGAATATGTAGGTGGATCATCTATTCCAAGCTTAAACATAGAGAGCGAAATGGCAGAGCATGACGACTGCTTCACTTATTTGAGAAGTCCCATCAGCTCCAATGGACTAATTGCTGAAGAACCCTCAGCGCCTATACAAAGGCTCATGAGACATTCGACAACTGAATTAATCGCTGGCATAGACATGATATCTAGCTATTCATTAAAGGATGTGTGTACTGGACAGTAGTTCTCTCTCTCTCTCTCTCTCAGACTTTATGGTTGTGAGACATGACCATTGAAAGTTGAAAACCTGAAATGGCTAGTTGTCTTCGATCATATGTGTCTGCGTTCTATTTCATGTGTTAAGTGGTCGTATAATATGGTGGGTGATATTGAGATTAGGCGTAGGTGTTAGGTAAGGAAACAAAATCAATCGATCAGGACATTAGGCTGCATAGATTGAAATGGATAGGACACGTGTTATGCATGTGGAGCCATCGGCTTCCTCAGCCGACTGGCAATCTTAGTTGATATAGAGTCCAGTTAGAAAGGAAGTTAATGGTGGTCAAATCTAAATTAAACATCACTCCATAAAATATTTCACAGTTGGTATGAACCAGTCAGGTAGGGGGGCGTAAGCCTCCTGGTTAGAGTCCTCGGGAATCTAAGAATCGACGGCTGCAGACAACTGGTAATATGACCCAAAATTGTTCTCAATGGCTGGCGCAGATGCATCCCACTCCTCGTGATCACTCATATCCATTACACACTCAAGTTTTTTCCACTGTCTTTTTAGACAACATTAGCAGTGCAAACTTCAATTTGAACTGATATCAGTTGAAGAAGCACTTAAAACCATAAACCACCGGACAGCTTTCTGCACCTATTTCGGGCTTTTCCAAGAGTACGCAACTATGACTCCATACGGCAATTGCTAATCGGTGTCATCAGACATCATCTCATACATCCCATTGGTTGCGACTTCTCCTACTAGAAATCTGAGTAAACCTTAACCATGTAGTCGGTGTCCAGTGAATTAGTATTCCATTTGTCATCATAATGCTAACCACTTCTTTTAAGGAGTGAGTGAGGGTATCCCATAGAATTGTAACTAGACAGTTTGAGATTAGATGCAAAGATGTTCAGCAGTTCGAGTCGCCACTCTCCCGATGTCGTACACAAAACAAGAGAAGACAGTGAACAGAGATTCAACAAAAGAGAGATAATAAACAGAAGTGTAATGAAAAAAGAATCGTAGTAATATGTTGGAATAATAATAGATTACAAATAGTGGATGCATCTGCACTAGCCACCCATTAACAACGAAAATTTTGAGCCATATCACCAATTGTTACCAGTTTTCATTGGTTTTTACCATCCCGAGGACCCCAACCAGTCAGGAAGTCTATATCTCCCTACGTGGCTGGTTGACCGGCTTAAACTAACTGTTAGGGATTCCATTGACAGATGAACCTATATTTCCGTTTGACCGCCACTAGCTCTGCCTTTTCTCACCTGATCCATTCTATGCCAACGAACATAGACCGTCGATAGAGGAAGGCGATGACTAGACATGCATGAGTAACACATATCTTAACCTTTTCAATCGATGCAGCTTCACAACCTCGTCGATTGATTTCCCCTCCTTACTCAATACTCACTCGACCTATGCCTCACCAACTCAATGTTACCCAGCCTGTTACACCTACCACGGGAGATACAACGCAGACACCTATGATCATAGACAATTAGCTAGCTGGCCTTTTCATATATTCCACTTTCAATGGCTATGTCTCGCAGCCAGCCATAAAGGAGGATGGAACGGACTGCATGCTGTGCAGTGCACACATCTTCGGGTCGATAGCTAAGTGGGTATCGCATCTACGCCAGAGATAACATACATTGGTAAATGCCAAACAAGCCTTCTGTATCGGTGCTGTGATTTCGTCAGCGATTAACCCGCTTGCGTTGGCTGAGGCAACTTCCCAAATAAATGAAGCGATCAATACACTCCATCACTTCACTCTCCTCTGTCTTTAAGCTAGGGTTTGTGTATTCCAGTCATGTAGCATCATCTTACATTTGACAGGAGCAAATCTCTCACTAAACATTCGAAGATTTCAGCTCAGAAGACTCTGCATTTCGTCAGCGTCTTCATCTAGAAGGACTATATCATCCACATATTCAACAAGTCAACAAGATTATAACCCGATAGCAAGTCAATCCCTGAGTCTCTGAAATCAGTTAGGTTTAAGTGCATTAGTACGTCGTCGATCAAATAAGCAGTAATGGAAACAGTAGGCATCCCTACGAAATATGCTTCCTCACCCTCACATGCAGAGCGCAATTTCTTCTCCCTATGTATGTGTTTCCACACAAGCACACACATGTAAATTGATATATATTATGGAATGTAAAACAATCACTTGTGCACTTTTCAGGTTTCAGCAAAATATATTTTCGGGTTTTCCAATAACTATAAGCCGAGCTGTATAATAGATTCTACGGATGACCTGGTTTAGTCTCTGTTTTAAAACTCTACTATTTACTTCCTCAGTGTAGGGTAATTTAATGAAAACATCTTTCTTAGAGACAGAATAGATTACATCTTTTAAAACCAACTAACTTCTACACCGGTTTAAAAATTTTAAAGGATATTCGTTTTCAACAAGAGTATCCATTAGTATTTTATTTTCATCCGCTATTAAAATCAGCTGTACAAATACGTTGAATCCCCTTAAACAGACATTTCGCCAAACCTCTCTTATCCTATAGTGGATAGAAGCTGTGAAAATTTTGTTATTGCTCTGTCCAAGAAGGCTTTCTGTAAACTGATCACTTCATTGAACCATCGCCTCTCCAACTCAGAAGTATGCTTAAAAATGCAAGCTGGTTGCAACTATCTTACTCGCATATAAGACTTATATGATCCCGTACGGAGTTAAGTTTATCTAGTAGACGACTTGCATCTTAATGATTATCACACATCAAAATAATATCATCTACATATCTCCCATCGAAGGACACGTCTCAAAATAAGGTACATAAACAGCCTCCAACAAATGTCCTAATGAACACCCTATATTGACGCCATTCACTTGTCAAACGTGTTCACCTTCAAAAGTGAAATGGACATTATCAGTTCATAATAGTAATAAATCTTTCAAATAAGTTAAAGGAAAAGGGAATGAAGAACAACTAGTCACATTTTAATCGGAAAGTGAACAAGGAGAATTAGGAGAATGTTAGATAGTAAAATAAAACGAATAAAAGATAAACTGAACACTTGCACTTATAAAAAGCCAATGCATTCTTGATCGATATTTAGACTTTAATTCATCTAATCCGTTAACTGTTAAACCAGGCTTAGTTAAGTGTCTAACAAACCGAGCAGTTCTCGTGTTGTAGAGCTAAACAGGAACATATCTCTCAAAAGTCACGTTGTGTTTGGACTTTCAACTGATGAACGTCAGTAATTCTTTTGTCATCGAAAAACAGTCCCTGTCTGCTAACCTCAAGCATCTTGACAGTCTCAAGCAGGAAGAAGCAGAAAAGAGATTTCCGAATGATCCCAATAAATATGTATTTAATTATTCTTCAGTCACTCTTTCTGAAACTCAACTACAAGCCCTATCACTGGGCCCCAAATTCTGTAACAGTTCGTCCAAAGTCAACAGATTGCATACTCAAGTGCGATTTGAAAATCTTATTAATCAGACCAACGATCTCACACCCACATCACCTTAGGAATTCCAACACTTTAAATCTACAGTTCTCGATTGCTATCATCAGTTTACCAGTTCAAAACCTAGCTCGAATAATCTTCTGATTAAATAGGATATAGACCAACTTAAAGAACTGTCTGTCTGTCTGGATTCAACATAGAACTTGGCACCGAAGTGCAGCAGTTCGAGTTGCCACCTTCCAAATAGCACACAGAGGTAGACAAGAAGATGAGTGAAGAGAATCAATAGAGTTTGACAAATCTAAGAGTGAAACAGAATGGGTAATGGTAGAAAGGAATATGAAAGATTACAGAGATTGAATACATCTGCGCCATTGACAACGATTTTGAGCCATGTCACCTATTGTCTCCAGCCATTGATTCCTAGAGTCCCGAGGGCCCCAACCCGGGAGTCTGCATCTCCCTACCTGACTCAGTTTAACTGTCAAGGATTTCATGGATTGATGCCATGTTTTAGTTTGGCCACCACTGGCTCTTTTCCAACCTGAACCTATATCAGCTAACAATGCCCGTCGGGGGAGGCGGTGGTTAGGCATGCGCACCACGTGACCTAGCCATCTTAGTCTATGTAACTTTATAACCTCGTCGATTGATTTTCCCTCATTGCCCAACACTCTACGCCTAACGTCAACATTACTTATCTTGTGAAACCACCTAACGTGAGAAAGAGATCGCAGACATCTATGATCGAAAGCAGTTTCCTGATCGAGCTGGGGACGTGATGGGTTTACCGCCAGCTGTTTCCTACGTCCGTTCAGTCGTAAGCACACACGAGCGCGGACCAGTGCGTGATCGGTATCTACACACGTGTTCCAGAAGGAGCGACAATCTCCTACCGACCCACGCCAACGATAGCTTATTGCTATGTGGTCTATTTGTGTCCAGCGTTGGTTTGATGAAGGGGGTCTCCAAGTCAAACAGTGTCTCTCCTTGTGTTTGAAGTTAGTGCTTACGAGAAACAAATGATTATCTGAACAGAACTGTAGTAGACGGTCACCGTTGTCGGTTCGCTGGCACGGAACTCCATAGGTGCCACCGACATCCTTCTCAGATTGACACAATTTCCCTACTTGAGCGTTAAAGTCACCAGCTAGAACGACTATATCTGAGCGTTTAGCCTTTCTCACCAAACTAGACAGCTTTTGGTAGAACTCATCCTTCGTTTCATCCGAACTGCA